GTCAATACAACACCATGGAGAAAATTTCAGCCTCACAAAAACCCTAAACGTATTCGTAACATTTACATTATTCTACATAAAGGTTAATCACAGCTCAGCAAATGAAATCTACTTAGATGAACAAACAAACATTTGCAAAAACAATAAAAATATAAGTGAATTAGTGTTTTGTCGAGATCACTTTCATTTGTATTCAATATTTGCTATGGTTTGGTTCAAACTACTAATAACAAGCTCAGTAGTGATTTAATTTTTGATGAGTCCTAGTCAGAAGATGTGACTAATGCTGTTGGAGGACAATAGTGCCAAATTGTAAATTGATTGGTGTTTGATACATGTACCAATAGACCCCAAAATCAATGATCCTAACGGTTGTACATTCGTCATGATAACTGCTGGGCTGGGATTACATCTCTGGGTTTAGGGTTGTGAGTATGCACTCCTGAGAAATCTTAGACTAGTACGAAACAGTTGTCGTTCAATGCATGATTTTCAATTCTAGCCCAAATATGATTAATCTGAGACGAAAATTGCTGATAAAGTTAGCAATGTTATCAAATTTAGTAACACTCTATGAATTAAGCCAACCAAACTACAAAAACAACACAAACAAGTCGATATTGACAAGATAATCTCCACAGTAAGTTCATATAGTGACAGAGGATGATCAGTTCTAGTACTGAATATTAACAACAGGAGTTTACAAACCCTTACTGATAACTTTATTTCTGTTCAATAATTTAGTAGCTTAATTGGTAATGGATTGAATATTGATAAGGAAAGTACTGGCTTTGAGTCTAATGTTTTAGTCTTCTCATTGATGTATAGGATTTGAATTGATCAGTCTCTTAGTAGTATATGACCATCTCCAATATTACCTTAAGCTACAAGCATTATAAGCAAAAATGAACAGTAGTTAACAGTGGAATCCAGAACGTGCGTTACGTTTTATTTAGAACTCATCACATGGGTATACTTGTATTCTATGAACTAAACGTCAGCCCATTGCACAAATGAGCGGCTATCCTAACTCAGTAGCTAAATGGATGACCCGATGGTGCTCCAAGCAGACGGTAGAAAGCTCGAGTACCAGAGTGAACATCAACTCTGGAATGCAGATATATCCAGCTGACGAAGACCAGACAGAATGAAACGCGTGTATTGGATCTCACTGCTAGCCATAGTAGAACGAAATAGCTATCAGGTCATACCGCTTGGTTTTCTATGGTTTTCCAAATAATAGTCAGTCTGTAACGTAAGCAATATTGTTATTGACTGAAAAAAATGCTCATCAATTTTAGTGTGCAAATCTGATAGTAATAAGTCAGTCAGTCAGCTACAACGTAGGACCAGGCACATATATGCATCGGTCCAAGTTGCCATACCTCATTAACACAACAAGATGGACACCGGATTCATAAAAGTAGTTAATTCAGAGGCGGTAATATCTAAAAGAAAGATTGCAATAAGGATATAATACAGGAAGAAAGAATTAGTTCGTAGAAAGAAAGATATGAAGCGATTTTAATCTCTTAGTTTAAGGGAAGACAAGGAGTATATACAGCGACGCCATTGTGATCGATTCTGAGCCATGTCACCAAGAGTCTCCAACCATTGGTTACGAAAGTCACGCAGACCCCAATCAAGTAGTCTGCATCTACCAACATGGCTCAGACTAGAAGTTAGTGACTTCAAGCACTGATGCCACGTTTTGGTTTGGCCGCCTCTAATTTTCTTCCAACCATCCCGAACACCGGGTAGCATTGCACGTCGTGGTAATCGGTGTTCAGGCATACGTAACACGTGGCCCAACCATCTCAGTCGATGAACATTCACAACCTCGTCGACTTATTTACCATCACTTCCTAATACCTTGCGTCTAACCTCAGTATTACTTACCCGGTGATCCCAACAGACGCCAGCAATATTTCTGAGGCATCCGTTGTCAAATACTAGTAGCTTACGAGTGTCTTCTACTCTAAATGGCCATGTTTCGCTGCCGTAAAGTAAAACTGAACGGACTGCCGCGCAGTATACTCGTTCTTTTATTGATAGACGGATATTTCGCCTTCGCCAAAGGTGACGTAAGTTGGCAAACGCCAAACGAGCTTTTCGAATCCGTGCTGAGATTTCGTCCGATACCAACCCATTAGGTCTGATCAGACTTCCAAATAAGTGAATTCGTCAACGCGTTCGACTACTTCACGCCCAACGCATTAACTCTGATGAGCTACAAAGGTCAGATAGCCACTTACATGTACAATGGTTAAAAATTTTATTTAAAAGGGTTTGTATCTTCCCATTGTTATAAAACGAGTATCCTGAATTCCGCTTATAAATACCACCAAACTCAAAGAAAATAATTGTGGGTAAATAAAAATATGAAGTGCCGAGCTAACACACTAACAACTACTCAGAAAAATAGCAGTTTGATCGGCTTTAAACATTTGTCTCTTGGGGTCAGCGGTCACCCTTCCAGGTCGGCAAAATCACTACCTATCCAATATTCTTTTCAGATACCTCAAAAAAACTATCTTTCCTCAATGTAGGTAACTGGGAAATATCAACTGTTCACATAACTCTAGCAGCATTCAAAAACACCTTGTCTGTATTAAAAGAACTTCATCTCTTTTTAATATTTTTCCTCTATCTCTACTATCAAATTCTGCCTAATGGCTTCCTCATACATAGTTCTAGTCATGTGCAACGTAGAATCTGATACATAGGTATGTCAGCTCAAGTTGTCATGTCTTATTAGCAAGGAGAGATAAAATTATCGAGGCAAATTCCAGATTACTAACAGTAGTAATAACATTTGTGGTAGTAGGAAAGATGAGGTACATGCAAAGAAATAAGGTATAAAGAGATTTTGTGACACAGGTTAGGTCCAAAAGCAAGAAAAGGAGTGAATGTATATGGACCATTGTGAGTGGTCCTGATTTGTCATCAAAAGTTGCGAATCATCGTTTAGGATAATCACGCCGACTCCAACGCGGTAATCTCAAGCTACTTAAATGACTTAGTCCACTTGTTACTGACTTAATGGACTAGTGCCACATCTTGGTTTAGCCACTTTTAGCTTACTGAAATCAACTCTTAAACTAGACAATATTCCCCGTCAAGATAGGTGGTGATCGGGTATATGTAACAAACATCCCAATCACCTTAGTTGATAAAGATTCATTACATACATACTACTACTAATTCTGAGAATACAAATAAATTCTATAATATATTGAAATTTCGATTCATTCATACATCATTTTATGATAATAGAAAGAGACTATAGACAATCAATTTCATTTCTCTCAATTGATGTATTCAGTTAGAAAGGTAAGTTAAGGTGAGTGAAGTGAAGCGAGGTGAAGTAGCATGCAATAATCACTGTCGTAACAAATAATTAACTGGATAAATAAATAAATAAACCAGTGAATTAACCAATCAACAATAAATCAACGATTTCGTTGAGTATTTTTGAAGTTTCAATGTTCTGTGTGTGTTTTTTCTTCTAACAACTTCAAGTTGGTTTTCATTTCATATTCATAAAAGGACTGTGTTATACTTCAGTTGATCTAGAATAGTTTCAATATTCAGTCATTGTAATGCATTCAACATTTACGGTTATTTTCTTGTTGTTGTCTAACAGTAAATCAACGAGCACTACATATAGAAGTTTAATTCATTATCCCTAAAGATTTCGTCATTTCAATTCATCATCAATCGGTGACGAAATTCGAAATTATTCAATGGTTAGATGGTGTCATTTTCACTGATGAGACTTGAAGATCATGGATACATTTGTTTCAATGTATCTTGATTTTTGATAATCATCAAACTAATGTCAACGCAAAAATTTCAGAAATTCTCATTGTGGAAATTAATACAAGATATCAAGACGAACAGAGTTGTTTTAAACTCGATCTTTATTAAACTTTACTCTGATATACGATACTTCGTAAAACATTTATGACATATTCATAAAACACAATGACATAAACAGTTATATATTGTAGTTGATATCATGAAGTTCCTGTAACAAAACAATCATTGAAAACCAATAGGCACTAAACAACTGTTTCGTCTTAATATAAGACTTCTGAATAGTGTAAATCCACAAGCCTAACATAGATCAAGTTCAAAAACAAAACACCTAACAGCCTCTCTATAAGCTTTCGATCACTGAGTCAAGAACGATCGTTTTGAAATGACGCTGAAATTTCTTCTTTACACGAATGAGACGAGCATCTATACACGATACCGTGCCAGTGTCCATTCTACAGCACTTCAAAACAATTTTGCTCACGAACATGTGACTGATCACACTAGAACGTGCGAATGTTTCAACGACAATAACAAACAATAAGAAATAATAATGTGATAGAAAACATGTGACACATCTCATACTTGTCAGACCATCTACTAGTTTGACTAGGTAAACAATCAATCAGTAATTTTATTAGCTACACATCAGGTTTACGTTTTTAACTTGAGTCAGCTCGCAGCAAGCCTCAGTAATGAGTAATTTCGAGAAGTAATGCCTAGAGTTCTAGTAACAGGTTATGATCAATGTAGTTCAGTTATATCGGGTCTGAGGCAACTACACATCAATATCACTAGATAATGATTTCGTAATGCTGTAAGTTGACTGACTGACTGACTGTCTTCACAAGCATCAACCATTAGGTCCCAACTGGTTAGTATAAGGATTGATGTCTCGCCATCAAGTCTGAAATTCTTTGAATGGTTCATCAGTGTAAAATACTGAACAGTTCAATGCTACAATGAATGAAAGAGCCATTTAATGTTTCCTCATTTTCAATTATTATCTGTCTACAATCAGTCCATCATGTGTATAACATAAACATTTAAACAATCACTGTAATAAACAAAAAACAAACTAATGCTTACCAATATATTCTAACACTATGCCTTTTCCATGAATAATATATGAATCTAATAAATTTCAATTTGATGTAAACTGTAAACCGTATACATTACTGATTGGATCATAAATTTGGTGCATATAATTTATTATAATCGATTGAATTCAATGAAAAGGATCCAGAGGAGATCGAAGAAGGAGAAGATAATGATGAATTGATCATTTCTACTTCTGGTAATTTTGTTTTTGTCTTTGTGGCGATTGTTTTCAATGTGGAATTATTGATTAAACAAAAACGAATTATTGGTATATTGTTAATTATACCGTCATAAACATTAGGTATACAATCATCCACTAATAAATAATCATGACTACATACAATTCCAGGATTTGATGAACATTCAGCATGTACAAACAGCATAAAATGTGATGAATTGTATGGTGTTATGAGGTTAATATCAATCCATTTAAATCACACTTGATTAATTCAGCCATTAAAAAACGGATAAACGCGTGATGTACGCAGCTTATTTTGACAGATATAAGTAGTATGCAACACCAAAATGAAATAGTGTGCCTGTTATCAAACTTCAACAATGTACAGCTTGAATCACTCTATTCAAGCATTACCTCTTCAAGAAAGCGATAGGGAGTGAACCTTTTTCGCTTAATGAACTGGACAATGCCGAGAAGGATTTATTAGAAAACGCAAAAAAGCGAAAATTCGAGGAAGTTGAATAAAATGACACAAGACTTCATACAATATGACTGCTAGGAATTATGTGATCAGTGAGTTACGATCGATCGTAATTGACAACCTGGTTCGTGCAGGAGGATATTTTGACACAACTGATCGGAGACCTACCATCCACGCGGACGACGCTCGGTTTTTTATTCGCAACAACGGGGATAGATTATTTTGACACGATTATGGTTAAACTGGGGCGCAAATTTCGAAAGCATTACGTTTGCATATTAAAAAGCTTTAACATTGGAGCAATCCATCTACAAGTTCCTTGCGCACTATTAACAGACGTCTTTCCGACGGCCTGTGTTAGTCCCGGCAATGGTGGTCTCCAAGTTGATTCAACTTTATCTTGGAAGAGTCGACAGACTGAGCCTCAACCACGTGCTGAGGTAATTAATTCCGGTCGCTTACTGAGTAAGCTTTGAGCATTAGTGTAACAGATCCGAAGCCTATTTAAGCGGCATTGTTGCGATTCTTAACTCGCAGAGATTTGCGGAAGAAGATATACAGTGATAGACGAATTAACATTGTTGGGTAACAGAAGGAGTCACAACTTCTATTGCCGAACTTAAAAAATAAAATAGTGGCCAAAGAAATGACCAGACGGAACATAGAATGCACTACAATGCCCCTCACGCAAGTCATCCTGGAGAAATGTGGAAAATATTAATAAGAAGTGTACGCAGAATTTTGAATTCACTATCTGGTGAGCAGACTACTTCCTGTGGGATGCTCACCACTTGTTTGACTGCAATAGAAATAATACTTGATGATAGACCTCTATCACAATTACTTTTACGGGAAGCCTTTTTCGTTTCATACAAAAGGACGCGATAAACAACATAGACATCTCATAAGTTGAGGTTTGCAACTAATGTTTGCATATTATTCAACCAAGAACTGGTGTTCTACAAAAAGTAGTTGTTATGTGAACTTCGATTTTGCGCGTATCTCATTCTGGTGACTTAGACATTTCGGTAGACTCAACTTAAGGTAACTTCACTTCAACAGACACTGAAAACCTGGAAGCCATAGACTGTTATTTCATCTAAGTATGCGACTAGTATACAATGCACAATCATTATCCTCCCAATGATCACCAGTTTTAATGAACGACAACTGAGTAATACCGCTAATTGACTGAATCCAGGAATATAAACCACTAGATGCCAAATCTTTAGTTTAAGATCGACTCATGTTGAAATCTCAGTTGTTCACTTGTTAATGGTTTCATATCACGTAAACAGATTCATTAGTCAGCGTATTTCATCGATAAAAATCAAAATATACACCGGTTAATGACTTGTAGTACAATTTTCTCACTGTCAGGACACCAACAATTGCGCTTTGATCAATAAATATAAACATCTCTGTCCTACAAGATGTCAGTTGTGTTTACAGTAACGTAGCAGCAAATTTTCATACTGCGAAATTGACTGATATGAGTTTGAATTACACGAGGAGTATTGGTTTCTTCAAGATTGAGAGTATAACATACCGACTTGTACCAACTACTATGAAACCGGACTAGACGATTTTCTGCCGACAGTCTACAAACACCGAACATTGTCTAGCCCAATTAAATTATTTCCTTAATAAAATCATCCAAAACGATGAATCTGAAATTGGCGAGACAGTGCAAACCTGACTTGCTATTTAAATATTCAACTGCGAATGCTTCTCTCCAAAAGAGCGCATTTCAAATCTGTTGGAAAGTGAGACCAAACTTCAGCACAAAATGACACGTCAAAATGTATTCAACCTCACGTAAACTTTGATCGCTCACATTGAACCATGATATGCAACCATAGTCAATATTCAGTGAAAACATACATTTGGTCAATAGTAAAATGTGTTTATTCAGAATATCAGATGAGGATGAGTTTATCCGCCACAGTGATTGATATAAAATGGAACACAGAACGTGATGTGGATTTTATCACCAGGATGATTCACCACAGTCTCATAGACCGATGTACACAGGAAGTAATAACTAGTCGAGTCTCAAAGAATCAGGATTATTAATGGGCGATCCATAGATTGATAAACTGAGGAAGTGAGAGCTAGATGATTCTGTGAGGAAACAACCACTAAACTCATCTGAAATTAGACGGTCAATGGCTACAGTGTTTATTCATAGATGGAGCACAGCCTTCTATGAATTGACAGTCGAGAGATTTGTTTTCACTTCATTTTATTTATAGAAAGTAGTAATCTTTTGAAAAATGAGAATTTCACTCATCTTTTTTCTGAACGTGTGGCTAATTATCAAGTTATTATTAGAAATCGTTGTTTTTTTGCTCTAAATAAGATTCATATTACGCCCACTATACATAATAGATGATATAGAATAATACCAAATTATTTGATTAATGAGATGGCGTGAGGTGACTGACGACAACACAGTTATAATCATTGATATTTCTGTCAATAACTGAGGTCAACAGAAATATGTTTTTGTTAATTAAATGGTCAGATAATTTACACTGAGATTAAAGAAGTGATACTATATTTTACTTTAAATATTTGCACACAATGTAACAGAAATGATAGAATTCGGTGTAATGTTATAGTGGATCAAGGGAATCGGACAGAATTCCCAATTTTTTCAAATCTTATTGCTGAATGCACAGCATTCAAAAGCCATTGCATCAGTAGGCCAACGAGAGAAAGTTGATCGAACGAGATACATTCTAAAGTTGGAACATTTCATTTGCGATTGCGGGCAACCGTTTTCGTTGTTCTGTTTTGCAGTATATTTTTGCATAATGTCGATTGTTGTGAGATAATTGTCCTCATATTGAATATAGATCAGATAGAGGCGAAAGTAATGAGTGACATTTACAAATTGTCGAGTGAATTGTGTTGATAAAATCAAGGTGAAATAAACTGTTGAATTGGTTATCTTTGGATGGTGAGCGGGACTGTCATCTGTCAACTACGTTCGCCTGTGTTCTTGAGTCGAACTCCATTAGGATCAGTTACAGTTATTACAATTTCCAATGGAGAGATCGGTCTTTAGGTCAGGAGTATATAACTCCACTAATGTGTACATAATTATTTTCCTAATTCAACTGAATCAGTTCATATTGTGGAATGTGTACAAAATTCAGTTTGATTGACAGCCATAAATGGAAATGTGTAAAACGCTGGTTTACAAATAAGGTTTTACACGATAGAAAGAAGCCAACGTTTTGTAGTGTGCTAAATGATTATATGAAAACGTCTATCATCTGAAGATAATCTGTTCAATGATTCTACTAAAGGATCTTCGAATGTAACTCATTGATAGATATAGCGACCACTGCACAGTGTGTAGTTCTTTGGTTATCAATATTTGGTACTTCACTCATTTGAAATACATTAAATGTTGGGTAACTAGAAACTGAAGGTGAGATGAAAGACTCTACGTGTGTTGGTAAATTTGGCATGGGGTTAGCGACTCTATCTTGTAGAAAACTAACCCACTAAGAAAGCGTTAACCAAAAACATTATTTAAAACTTTTATACTCTGCTCTGGGAGTCAGAACGTCCTCCTTTAGAGGAACTATGGCGCCTCATGATGAAAGGTGAGTTCCTCTGGAATTCATAAGGCCGCTGCCCCTTTTGACAACCAGAGCAACCATTTATTTAGGTACATGGGATACTCGTGCAATGTGGAAGACAGTGAGAGTCCCCCAAATTGCTGCAGAAATGAGGAGATACAACCTATAACTGCTTGGGATCACTGAAACACATTGGACGCAAGTTGGACAACAATGACTAGCTTCAGGGGAGCTTCTGTTATACTCTGGCCATGATGAAGAAAATGACCCACACGCGCAAGATGTTGCAATGATGCTGTCCAAACAAGCACAAAATGCATTTATTGGATGGGAATCTCATGAACCAAGGATCATCAAAACCTCCATCAAAACAAAGAAACAGAGCACTACAATGAACGTCATTCAATGCTATGACGCTACCAACAATTACGGTCAGTCGTTGAGAAATGCCTACAAAAGACTTGACCATTCTGAAGAGTATCTCAAATGCCTAGTTTAAACTGAACAACACCGGGTATGAAGACATCATGGGACGATATGAACTAATAGAAATATGAATGAAAATGGTGAGAGATTTGCAAACCTATGTGCCTTCAATAAACTGGTCATAAGTGGAATTATATTCTCACACAAGCGCATCCACAAAATCACATGAACTTCACCGGATCACACAACACTAAACCAAATCGACCATCTCTGCATCAACAAAGCGTTCAGGAGGACGATGGAGGACGTGCGAACCAAGAGAGGAGCTGAAATAGCATCAGATCATCACTTGCTGATCGCCAAGATGAAATTGAAACGCAAGAAGTACTGGAAAACGGGGCGGACGATATCATAAAAGTTCAATACGGCCATTCTTCAGGATACCGACAAACTCAACAAATTCAAAATAGTCCTAAGCAATTAGTTCCAGGCCTATCATGATCTCCTCAAAGGAGAAGGACCTACTATGGAGAGCAACTGGAAGGGGATCAAAGAGGCAATCACTTCAACATGTCATGAGGTCCTGGGCCACAAGAAGCAGCATTACAAAGAATGGATCACTGTTGATACACTGGATAAGATTCAAGAAAGGAGGAACAAGAAGGCAGCAATCAATACCAGTCGAACAAGAGCAGAAAAAACCAAGGCACAAGCTGAATATACAGAAGTAAACAAACAAGTGAAGAGGTGCATCAGAACCGACAAAAGTAAATATGTGGAAGATTTAGCAACGACGGCGGAAAATGCTGTATGAAAAGAAGGAAACATGAAACAACTGTATGACACGACAAAGAAACTCTCTGGAAATCGCCGCAAACCAGAACGACCAGTGAAAAGCAAGGAAGGCAAGGTAATCACCAACATTGATGAACAACGAAACAGGTGGGTAGAACACTTCAAAGAACTCTTGAATCGACCAGCTCCACTGAACACACCCAACATCGAAGCAGCACCAACGGACCTCCCAATCAATGTTGGCCCACCAACAATTGAAGAAATCAGCATGGCCATCAAACAAATCAAGAGTGGCAAAGCAGCAGGACCGGACAACATTCCAGCACAGGCACTGAAAGCAGACGTAGCGGTAACTGCAAGCATGCTCCACATTCTCTTCAATAAGATTTAGGATGAGGAACAGGTACCAAAAGACTGGAAAGAAGGACTTCTGATCAAAATACCGAAGAAAGGCGATCTCAGCAACTGTGATAACTACAGATGCATCAATCTTCTCTCAATACCGGGAAAAGTCTTCAACGGGGTATTGCTAAACAGAATAAAGGATTCCGTAGACGCCCAACTTCGTGACCAACAGGCATGATTCCGTAAGGATAGATCATATACAAACCAAATCGCAATTCTATGGATCATAGTGGAACAATTAATTGAATGGAACTCATCGCTCTACATCAACTTCATTGACTACGGAAAAGCATTAGATAGCGTGGACAGAACAACATTATGGAAGATTCTTTGACACTACGGCGTGCCTCAGAAGATAGTCAATATCATACGGAATTCCTATGATGGATTAAACTGCAAAATCGTGCATGGAGGACAGTTGACAAAGTCGTTCGAAGTGAAGACCGGTGTTCGGCAAGGTCGCTTACTCTCACCCTTTCTTTCTCCTGGTGATCGACTGGATCATGAAGACGTCAGCATCTCAAGGGAAAAACGGGATACAGTGGACATCTAGGATGCAGCTGGACGATCTAGACTTCGCAGATGATCTGGCCCTCCTATCGCAATCGCAACAACAAATGCAGGAGAATACGACCAGTGTGGCAGCAGCCTCAGCAGCAATAGGCCTCAATATGCACAAAGGGAAAAGCAAGATTCTTCGATACAACACAGAATGCACCAATCCAGTCACAATTGACGGAGAAGATTTGGAAGATGTAAAAACCTTGACATATTTGGGCAGCATCGTTGATGAACACGCTGGATCTGATGCAGATGTGAAGGCGTGCATCGGCAAAGCAAGATCAGCATATTTACAACTGAGGAACATCTGGAACTCAAAGCAGCTGTCAACCAACACCAAGATCAGGAGAGAAAATGAACAAGAACTGGATGGAATTAGAAAAGAGGTTCAAGGACAGAGTGGGTTGAAGAATGCTGGTCGACGGCCTATGCTACATTAGAAGTAACGTTTGCCTGGATAAAAAGTATATTTCTTGCACTCGGTATTTAATGGAATCTTCTCAGCGAATTCTGCAAAAGCAATGCATTATACATCATATCTTGGTTGGATGATTACCCACCTAGAAGGTCCTAATATATTATCGTCATATAGAAACCACTGAATTCAACTGTTCGTTCGACATCTCTCACTTTTTCGATTCTGTTTAAGCGATAAGTGTATGACATTTCTATGTAGAAGAACTAGAAAGAGGCTAAAGAATCAGTATACATTATTCAAGTATTAAATATATCAATAATAAATGGAGTCAGTAAATAATTCATGTTAAAGAATTATACTAGACATCCACTGATGTGTATATATACACTGACAAATCAACCATGATACAGAGTTACATCCCACATCAATACACAAATATATATATATATATACAATAAAAAACTACAACTTACTTATGCCTTAGACGATAGACAACAAGAAGAGTGGCCAAAAGGAATATTCATATTCCAAGTATAGAGCCTAAGTCAACTAAAAATAAAGAAAAAAGAGCTTTTATAAATATACATTTCAAAGAAATAGAAATATTTCCTGTTCAAATATTCAGTGGACAAATGACTAACAAACAAACATGCACTATGAACATTCAGACTGTAAACCGCAAGTTTGGAACATGCTCTCTTCATTGACCAAGTAAAATCGGATTGTAGTATCAACTAGCTATGAAGTGAAGTACAAAAATATGTACTTGACAAAAACAAAATAGATTGGATGCATAAAGATATTTTTGTAAAACGTATAATTCAATGAAGTATAAATAACTCATCGGTAAATCTCTACAGATACACATGATTGATGTGTAAAAACTGACCATACATCGCCCACAAATGCCCTGGTACAGCCGAGAGTGGGGAGAGTCCCCTCTCCCTCTCGGAATACTCTCACACGGCCACGCGTATACAGTCTCTGCCAGGGAAGTCCTACTCATTGCCTTCTCGTGGCAGGGGTGTTGTTTACGAAAACGATAGGACAAAAAGCGAATATCCGGCGCTTTAACCGGATCCCGAACAAATGGTGCACATGGGCTCCAGTATCCTGAGGGAACAAATGGCGTATGAACCAATTTTCGGTCACCACCTACCATGGAATTGCATCTCCTTACGATGCTACACTGCCTTGTGGGTTAGACCTTTAGGTCAAAGGCTCCGGGTGTAGACACTAAGAAAACCAGCTGCTTCGGTCTGGGCGCCCGTACAGTATCACAGCCCACACTCAGATAAAATGAAATGAAATGAATTACTGGAATTACTATTCCCCCCTCGATTAAAACTCAGGCAATTCACATTCATTTTTATTCGTTTTTTTTATACTACGTCGATTACCTACAATCCTTTATTCTCACTTTCTGTATCCTAATTTTTCGACATTATTATAGTTTGATTAAAGAAGTTGTAGATAGCAGAAAAACTCAATACATGCATTTCGTTCTATTCAGGGATAGCTAGTTAGCTACGTGTACCGGTATCCCAATATTGATTTTTATATTGAGACTTCAACCCAGAAATATTTTTCGTTTCATATATCCAATGCGTTGTGTACACAGCTACATAACTTCATTGGAACCACGTTATTCACTAAACGTGTTATTGAAGTTACAAGTAAATCAGTTCATCTGACTCCTTCAAGTAAGCAGAAGAAACAAGATATGTTTAAAATAATCAGATGTTTCGATTGAGATCATGAATCGATCAATATCAAACCGCCATTGAAAATCTGGAAGCACTGGACGGCTGTTTTGTCCTAGCGTGTGACTTCTCACCAGTCAGCATCCACGACCCTGCACGTAGGATTCGAACCCAGCACTGTCGGTCTGGATTAAGTCAGAATGTTTTGTGTAAAGTTCGGGTGAAATTACTGACTGTCTGCTCCAATCAAACAACGTCATGAACGCTGCTCAAGCAAGTAATCCAATAATTGCAATACAAATGATTCAACTACATTAAACCACTGTTTCACTACAGTGTTACATAGCCATTCAATTATTAATACCTAAGTAGAAGTCAGATACTAATATTTCTAACTTAATTCAACACTTATGAAATGTTTCGCAAATAAGAATTATTACCAAAATACATATGTCGGTGATCAATTTTCAAGTTGGGTCTCATATTCAGTCAATACAACACCATGGAGAAAATTTCAGCCTCACAAAAACCCTAAACGTATTCGTAACATTTACATTATTCTACATAAAGGTTAATCACAGCCCAGCAAATGAAATCTACTTAGATGAACAGACAAACATTTGCAAAAACAATAAAAATATAAATGAATTAGTGTTTTGTCGAGATCACTTTCATTTGTATTCAATATTTGCTATGGTTTGGTTCAAACTACTAATAACAAGCTCAGTAGTGATTTAATTTTTGATGAGTCCTAGTCAGAAGAAGTGACTAATGCTGTTGGAGGACAATAGTGCCAAATTGTAAATTGATTGGTGTTTGATACATGTATCAATAGACCCCAAAATCAATGATCCTAACGGTTGTACATTCGTCATGATAACTGCTGGGCTGGGATTACATCTCTGGGTTTAGGGTTGTGAGTATGCACTCCTGAGAAATCTTAGACTAGTACGAAACAGTTGTCCTTCAATGCATGATTTTCAATTCTAGCCCAAATATGATTAATCTGAGACGAAAATTGCTGATAAAGTTAGTAATGTTATCAAATTTAGTAACACTCTATGAATTAAGCCAACCAAACTACAAAAACAACACAAACAAGTCGATATTGACAAGATAATCTCCACAGTAAGTTCATATAGTGACAGAGGATGATCAGTTCTAGTACTGCATATTAACAACAGGAGTTTACAAACCCTTACTGATAACTTTAATTCTGTTCAATAATTTAGTAGCTTAATTGGTAATGGATTGAATATTGATAAGGAAAGTACTGGCTTTGAGTCTAATGTTTTAGTCTTCTCATTGATGTATAGGATTTGAATTGATCAGTCTCTTAGTAGTATATGACCATCTCCAATATTACCTTAAGCTACAAGCATTATAAGCAAAAATGAATAGTAGTTAACAGTGGAATCCAGAACGTGCGTTACGTTTTATTTAGAACTCATCACATGGGTATACTTGTATTTTATGAACTAAACGTCAGCCCATTGCACAAATGAGCGGCTATCCTAACTCAGTAGCTAAATGGATGACCCGATGGTGCTCCAAGCAGACGGTAGTAAGCTCGAGTACCAGAGTGAACATCAACTCTGGAATGCAGATATATCCAGCTGACGAAGCCCAGACAGAATGAAACGCGTGTATTGGATCTCACTGCTAGCCATAGTAGAACGAAATAGCTATCAGGTCATACCGCTTGGTTTTCTATGGTTTTCCAAATAATAGTCAGTCTGTAACGTAAGCAATATTGTTATTGACTGAAAAAAATGCTCATCAATTTTAGTGTGCAAATCTGATAGTAATAAGTCAGTCAGTCAGCTACAACGTAGGACCAGGCACATATATGCATCGGTCCAAGTTGCCATACCTCATTAACACAACAAGATGGACACCGGATTCATAAAAGTAGTTAATTCAGAGGCGGTAATATCTAAAAGAAAGATTGCAATAAGGATATAATACAGGAAGAAAGAATTAGTTCGTAGAAAGAAAGATATGAAGCGATTTTAATCTCTTAGTTTAAGGGAAGACAAGGAGTATATACAGCGACGCCATTGTGATCGATTCTGAGCCATGTCACCAAGAGTCTCCAACCATTGGTTACGAAAGTCACGCAGACCCCAATCAAGTAGTCTGCATCTACCAACATGGCTCAGACTAGAAGTTAGTGACTTCAAGCACTGATGCCACGTTTTGGTTTGGCCGCCTCTAATTTTCTTCCAACCATCCCGAACACCGGGTAGCATTGCACGTCGTGGTAATCGGTGTTCAGGCATACGTAACACGTGGCCCAACCATCTCAGTCGATGAACATTCACAACCTCGTCGACTTATTTACCATCACTTCCTAATACCTTGCGTCTAACCTCAGTATTACTTACCCGGTGATCCCAACAGACGCCAGCAATATTTCTGAGGCATCCGTTGTCAAATACTAGTAGCTTACGAGTGTCTTCTACTCTAAATGGCCATGTTTCGCTGCCGTAAAGTAAAACTGAACGGACTGCCGCGCAGTATACTCGTTCTTTTATTGATAGACGGATATTTCGCCTTCGCCAAAGGTGACGTAAGTTGGCAAACGCCAAACGAGCTTTTCGAATCCGTGCTGAGATTTCGTCCGATACCAACCCATTAGGTCTGATCAGACTTCCAAATAAGTGAATTCGTCAACGCGTTCGACTACTTCACGCCCAACGCATTAACTCTGATGAGCTACAAAGGTCAGATAGCCACTTACATGTACAATGGTTAAAAATTTTATTTAAAAGGGTTTGTATCTTCCCATTGTTATAAAACGAGTATCCTGAATTCCGCTTATAAATACCACCAAACTCAAAGAAAATAATTGTGGGTAAATAAAAATATGAAGTGCCGAGCTAACACACTAACAACTACTCAGAAAAATAGCAGTTTGATCGGCTTTAAACATTTGTCTCTTGGGGTCAGCGGTCACCCTTCCAGGTCGGCAAAATCACTACCTATCCAATATTCTTTTCAGATACCTCAAAAAAACTATCTTTCCTCAATGTAGGTAACTGGGAAATATCAACTGTTCACATAACTCTAGCAGCATTCAAAAACACCTTGTCTGTATTAAAAGAACTTCATCTCTTTTTAATATTTTTCCTCTATCTCTACTATCAAATTCTGCCTAATGGCTTCCTCATACATAGTTCTAGTCATGTGCAACGTAGAATCTGATACATAGGTATGTCAGCTCAAGTTGTCATGTCTTATTAGCAAGGAGAGATAAAATTATCGAGGCAAATTCCAGATTACTAACAGTAGTAATAACATTTGTGGTAGTAGGAAAGATTAGGTACATGCAAAGAAATAAGGTATAAAGAGATTTTGTGACACAGGTTAGGCCCCCAAATGCCCTGGTACAGCCGAGAGTGGGGAGAGTCCCCTCTCCCTCTCAAAATGTTCTCACACGGCCGCGCGTTTACAGCTTCTGCCAGGGATGTCCTACTCACTGCCTTCTCGTGGCGGGAGTGTTGTTTACGAAAATGAGAGGACGAAAAGCGAATGTCCGACGCTTTAACCGGATCCCAAATAAATGGTGCACATGGGCTCCACTATCCTGAGGGAACAAATGGCGTATGAACCAATTTTCGGTCACCGCCTACCATGGAATTGCATCTCCTTACGATGCTACACTGCCTTGTGGGTTAGACCTTTAGGTCAAAGGCTCGGGGTGTGGCCTCCTAAGATAACCACCTGCTTCGGTCTGGGCACCCGGGCAGTATCACAGCCCACACGCAAATGATGAACTCTCTATATCAATGGAACCTACATTTCTCGCTCCAAATAACAGTCAAATGATCCAAATTATTATCA